TGGGCAACCTGGGCCAGGGCCTCACCACCCTCATGGTGAAGAATTTCTTCCTTATATCTAATCTAAACTTCACTTCTGCCTTCTGAGCTCTCCTCTACTAGCTAGAAAAGGCATGCTTTCTTATGATAACCGATTAAAAAAGGCAATAAGAGTCTTGGCTCTTTCCTAATCTGCCTCCTCCCCACCACTTTTCTGTCTGAATCGCTGGTCATTGAGCCACCTGTCCTCAGCAGCGTATGTACCTGCTGGGCTATGATTCCTGCCCAAAGTGATGGAGAGCCCCACAGATGCAAAGAAATTGGTCGTTCTGTTAGCAAGTCACCCTCGGAGCGAACCTGCAGAGCTGTGCTTTGCCAAATAGGGCTTTTTGCCAGTTCAAGTTGTTATTTGGCCTTGATCTTGGTTGTTGGCAACCACTAACTAACAAAATCACTCCAATTATTCTTTGTGAGTGAGTGCACATATGTGAGTATTCCCCGTCGTGCTGTGCCCAGCTCTGTAATTTTGAGCTTTTCGTGGGAAGGGCTGTGCTGTGCGTGTTAGGCTCTGATCTCCTATCCCTGCAGCGGTGGTGGGAAGTTGGAGGTGGAGGGGCTTCCTCTGCTCACGAAAAATTTCGCTGAAACTGGAAGAACTGATAAAGATTTCTTGATTGGAAAGACACCGAGAAGGAGAAGAGGCGATGTGCATGAATTGTAGTACTGGATATTTGTTTAAGCAGAAGTATTTTTTCCTACAAACGTGATCACACAGGGAAAGTGGTTGCCCAGGCGTGCTGTGGAGTCTCCAGCTCGGTGATGTTCAAGACCTGGTTGGATACAACGCACCGCAACCTGCTGGTAGCTCCGCTGCTTGCTGTGGGGCTCTGGCCTTGGACTTCAAAACCTGGTTGGATATGACCTGCCACTACCTGCTGGTAGCTGCCGCTGCTTGCTGCGGGATGCTGGCCTCAGACTTCAAGACGTGGTTGGACACAACCCGCCACGACCTGCTGGTAGCTGCCACTGCTTGCTGTGGGGCACTGGCCTTGGACTTCAAGACGTGGTTGGACACAACCCACCACGACCTGCTGGTAGCTCCGCTGCTTGCTGTGGGGCTCTGGCCTTGGACTTCAAGACCTGGTTGGACACAACCCACCATGACCTGCTGGTAGCTGCTCCCGCTTGCTGT